CACAAATTAGGAAGTGTTTACTATGGGAGAAAATTATGGGAGGAATTCCGTAACCCTTATATTCCCAGGTTCCCCAAGTGAGTTAGTAAAGATATTATTATCCCTGTTGTTTACCCAAAACCCACTCACCAATGTGTCAGCGTCAAGGAAGACGCACTTCTCGTACTGAGTCAAGCTCCAGCAGTGGATCTTTGTGAAGGTGATGCCGAGCTCAGGCCTCTGCAGTAGGGCAAGGTGCGCCGCGTCTTTGGAGTCCAGAACGTCCACTATCACAACATCCGCGAACACAGCGCGGAGACGTTCTCTGCAAAGATTGTAACAAGGGTATTTTTGGTGTAAATTATCAAAATTAATATATCTAATTTATCTACTTCTTGGTGTGTGATTTTTTACGAGGTCGAATCGGAAATGAGGAGATCCGTAAACGAACTAAAGTCGGTGACATAGCTTAACGCATTAGCAAGCTGAAGTGGCAATGGGCAGGGTATAATAATGCGCCGAACTATCGGTCGATGGGGGCAGCAAGGTTCTGGAGTGGAGGCCACGTACCGGAAAGCGCAGCGTAGGACGTCCACCCACAAGGTGGACCGACGACCTCATAAAGGTAGCGGGAAGGCGCTGGATGCAGGCCGCCACCAACCGGCCATTGTGGAAATCATTGAGAAATATCATAAAATGTATCGGAGTGTATTATTCTGTATCCTATAGAGATAATGGAACAAACAGGTCATTCCTAAAATTTAACAATAATTACCTCATGGCATCAGTCACTGACGGCGTGATGAGCACCACGGCCGGGTAGGCAGAGGTGGCGCGACGCAGCGAATGCGCCAACACCAACGCCCCAAGGCCGTACGAATCGTTCGTGGCCAGAGTCACCCATGCTCGATCTGCCGGCAATTGCACCAATTACGTACACCCACAATTCATAAAGCCACTTTCATGCCAGTAGCGGTCAAGTGCAACACAATAGGGAATCTAAAAACGCACGGAAAATCTACTCAGACTTTATTTATCACATAAAACAATTCTAAAAAGCATTAACATTATCATGAATGTCAACGAAATCATTTATTACGAAACAATGGCTTCATTTTTAACTCAACAACTGCTTACGCTGGGAATATAAACGTCACAATATGAAATCTGGGGAATTATTAATAGCAGTTTTCCACATTTATAATTTTCTTGGGCATCTTTATGTCAACAAGGTCCGGTGACAAGATATTTAATGGATTTAATCTATCTCTAATTTACTGCGTGTGAATCTGATCACGCTTATACTTGGGTGCCAACGACGTAATATCTTAGATTAATAAATATTAATCTAAGCGTAATATCTAAAATAACTGGAAACAGCTTCTTTGGATGCTGGATTACGCAGAATCGTATTTTAGCTGGTTTATATGTATGGTCGCAAAAACATCTAGGGAAATGCGCAGTTTCTTCCTGCAAAGAGTGACGAATCTCACCTACGTAGTGCAAAGGTGTTGGCACGTGTTGTGTTGACGCCTCAGACCCGTATGCGCGTTACTTAGTCCTTCTACTGTCAATACTGGCACGTGCCAAAATGCTTTAAATTTAATCAAATTAATTAAAATTGATTTGATGTGCCGGTCATTTAGCTGTTTAAATTATACTTCACGCTATTGCGTTTTAACTTACTTATTTCTATTTGAAGACACATTAGTGGCGATTTATGAGCTTCAACTTTAGATGCATCATAGTGATTTTCCGGGATCCATCTGAGATTTAATGATATTATTATGCTGACTATGCTACAGAAATATTCAAGTGAGTAACTCCGGGCATCCAGTTCGCGTGGGCCTTCATATATAGCGCCATATAATAGACAAGTGCCGCACGTTCTGCTCCGAAATAGCACGACACAAATAAAATTGAAAATAAAACTAGTGGATAGCGTTAGATATTCGGAGTCTGTCGTCGTCACTGCTGTATCCACGATTACATGTTGAATAATGCTGAACGCATCTGCGCCACTAATAATGACGACGAGACTGACCAAGCCTCCGGAAAAATGTGCCAAATAGTTCTTACGCTCTGATAGAAACATAAGAAAAGTTTTAACTAGATATTGAAAAATTATATCAGTCTTATGTTTCAAGCATTAGATGATGGCAGGAATAATTTAAATGACCTTTACGTACCTTATGTCAATATTTTTGGATTGGCATGATCATTAATCCTATGCATATAAGATGACAACACCAATCATTGGGTTAATAAAACCGTAACTAATTGAATTAGACAGATTCTAAAGACATTATCATTTGTTTCAATGATAATCATCTCAATTAACGATTGGTTCATCAATTTATGAGGGTTTGCTTGATGTCACTGTTTAATGTGGCACATTTTGGCTTCACATAATACCGCCAATACACGAGGTTAAATTTTAATGGCCCGGAACTGGCACACGATGTTTGTTTTAATAATGGTAATGGCAAGCTAATATTTTTAATCGATATTCCAACCAAGGTTCAGAACATCATAAAACTGGTCTGGAATTCAGGAACTTCCTATCTTGTAAATTTCAGTATAAACATCATAGGATCGAACAAACTTTATGACTAGAAGAAAAATAACAGAGGACTAACACGGTAAACAGCAATAAACATCGATTGCTTGGTATCTGGAAATCATGAGAGCGAATTATTCTCCAGGCAAAGGCACCACAACAAGGCACTTGAGAGTCGAGAGATGCAGGATCAGACGCTGCTAGGGAGCAATGTCCCTGCGGTTTCTATTTAGGTGCGGCCGGTCCGGCGGGATGGAACCACGCGGGCAGTCGACCGTTTAACGGAATACAGGAATGCAATGATGACGTGCTTATCTTTTTGTAAAATCGAACAATTTGCTAAAGTAAAACACGAAAAAATCAGTTTCAGTCAAGCACATAATCTCATTTTCGTGATTGCACTTTCTAAGCTGACATTTCTACAACACACAAGCACGCTACGTGCTTATACATAGTAAGTAATTATGCATTTTTGTAGGTATTTAGTTTTTGAATTAGAAAGGCGAAAATGAACACCTGTATTGATTGGAGAAAGTAGGACTGCTGGTTCATGTTAACTGGTACCTAATCTGGGTCATTGTAAGGGTAATAAATTGTCAAGTATAAACTACTACACCACAAAAGCAATTCGAAAGCGGGTTTAGTTGTATTGATATCAACGTTATGTTGAAACCCAGCTTTTAAAAGAATTGAACTTGCTTCTAAGTTTTCAAAATGATGAAGCTTAACATTGTGACCGGATTGCGTTACATGTAACATGCAATGCTATGCAACCTCATTAAGGTAGAAGAGGGAAGTTAGTTATATCCAAGTAAATTTCTAATTTTTCGAATTGATTTTATTAGAGTATGATCGTGTTCTCATGACAACACCGAATAACGTAAGAGGATAGGTAAATCATCCCTTCATTGGCGCCAGCCACAACTAGGCTGAGCGAACCTTTGCGGTTAGTATTGAATATCAGGCATAACCGCAAACATCTCACGTAAATAGCCAATCTATATCTTAAATAATAACATTATCTCAGCAGTATCGTATGACATACTTGATTAAATGTCGCCTGTTAGTTTATCATACCAAAATAAAATTCCTTAAACGAGTTTGGTGGTCAAATGTAATGCAAAATAATTTCAGACTCTCATTACAGTGACTTTTACGATAACAATGCTGATAGGCACGGTGTTTATGGGTATACTGTAGATAGCAATCGCTTGTTTACAATCTCCGAGATACTACATACATACATGAATTGTGGGGTTAATATCTATTATTAATTCATATTTTCCAATGTTCACTATTCGCGGATCTCGTAAGTCGATTGTGAGATGACGTAGATAGTAGTGTCAACAATGATAATATCGAGCAGAGTCTGGACAAGAATAAAATTCAAGGCTGTCCAGTCCAGCTCCGTCAAAAACATTATGAAGGACTGAGCTTTCGTTACCTACCAATATTTAAAAAAGATCACCGTTTACAATTTAATTGGTATTTTTTTTTTTTACTGGAACAAGTCTTCTCGGTCACTCCAACAAGAATTTTTAATTTATGACAATTTAATCAGCACTAGTACCTACTCATATTAGTTTTGCGTTTGTGAATATTTAAAACTGTTTGTTTCTGTTTCATCGCATTCTTGTTCTCTGGTGCGACTCTTGATAATTATTCTGACGTGTAACGATGTAAAGAAACATTTAATTCTATATTTAATGTCGTACTATCAGTGGAAACATTACATAAAACTGCAAACGGGGTAATCGATCGTGTGATCCTATGTTAAGAGAAAATTAAGGTTAATTCAAAATAAAGATGATCAGGACCAGCATTAAATAAATTTTGAACTACCTTACAACCAAAAAATTCATTTAAAATTTTAAATTTCGAAAACAATCTTCTGTTTCTTGTCCAAACCAAAAAGGTTTGGACAACCTTTTCCTTTGTTATCTGCAATTTATTTGGCTTTAATGTCGCTCCTGTAAAATTGGTTTAGTAGAAGAAAGAGAATAGGTAGAATACTCACTTGACATTATGAGGCCGGGTGTAGTCTCGTGCGTGACAGTCTGTCACCGCTCTGATTATATCACGAACCACGCGCGCTCTTCGCGCGGTACTAGCAAATGCACGCAGCGTGCGGCGACTCGACCCCCTCGCGCCGCCCCCCTCACACATACAACCGCGGAGACGTCACTTCTGTATACCTATACTGCTAGTGTAAACGCACACATACAAAGCAAGCATCGCTTGCGTAGAAAGATTAAATTAATCCCTTCTACACAAGTGTTATAATTTAGCAAAATAACATTAAAAGCTATGAAAACAAGCACCAAGCAATAATATTAATCAATATCTTCGTAAAATGATGATGTAACATAATTTTGAACACTTCAAGATTAGGCTTAGCAATGGCAACACCAAGCGAACAGCTGTTCACCGCGATCGATAGATGTCGGTGGGCATCGCTTTATTTTCGATGCCGTCTATAGAATAACGGTATCCGTAGTAAAAATCTTTGCGTTATCGAATCGTTTCCTTCGTAGGCTGCGGCCGTCTGCGGTCTTCTTTGATATTTTGTGCGTAAACCCGGGTCGATGAACGAATTCGGCCGAAGAATGAGGAATAATTATGCAATATGGAATAATAATGGTTATCTCTAGTGAACTTATTCGAAAAAGAATGAAGCACGGGTTAAATATGAGGCGTAGAATGGATTTTACGGCGGGATAGCGTGTTGTGTTTGTTTTTGGTGTTTCGGTGGAAACGATGGCTACCTCTCCTACAAGTATAGAAACACAAATAGACAGTTTTTTGGAGCAATTCAAGAGAAGCGCTTCGAAGGCTATGGAAGAACGTGTTGACTGGCCTGATGGACCTTCACCTGGGGCTGTGGTGAAGTCGAGGAGTAGCTGCTTTGCTTTAGACGCAGCGGCAGGTAAGTGAAACCAATAAATTAGGGAATAAGTGAGTAATAAATAACAAATATCATTGTAGCTACCTATTCAATTCAATTAAACCGGAGAGACTTATATTATTCGGAGAAACTTAGTAAAGTAAGTGATACAAAAGACCTTGTCGATGTCTATGACAAAGTTAAACACTAAACAGGCTCCAAAATTCCATGACCTAGGCCTTTATTACTGAACAGGTAGGTAAAGTATACTTAGATATTGTTATTGTTTATAGGTTACCTAAAATACAATAAAATTGGCATTATTGCCTACCTGTGTTCTTCTCTTTTACTGTTAGGTGTTTTGGCAATACGTTTATCTGTTTTTGCTATCATTTTGGACACTATAAAAACAGTTACACTATTTTTCACCACAAATCTGCGTCTTTCTTTCTTCTTCCTGCTGTACTTTTCTCAAGTTTCTCAACGCATGTGAGTGACGTCATATTTACGCGGAATTCCCGCTTTTATTTTTGACAGTTAGTGTTATAAGGTAAATGCTCCAGAATTTAATAAACAAAAAACAGTCACGTACCTAAACAATTTATAAAATCTACAAAACCTGTAACGGCTTGAATTAGGTAACTAAAAATACTTAATTATAATTGATTGAAAATTTATCAAAATAATAAAGGCAATGTATTATTAAAAAATAATGTATTATTTAAAAAAACAGGATGTATAGTAATTTAATTCATGCAGTCAAATGTTATGTTTCAAAAGAGGGGAGAATAGTTGTCCCATCCATGGCCCGCTTTTAAATCAGGACATTGTCCTCGAATGCGTTCATCAAACAAACTTGTCTAGCACTATGCTTATTGATTTATGGTATAATTAGAGACCTTACTTTTGATTTGGCGATCTAATAGAAAATAATAATTAAATCACAAAATTGTCGTATGAGTTGGAATTTTATATCAACATGCATGCGTGACCGGATGACGTACTAGTGCTGCGTTAGCCTGTAGTAAATGAACTTTCCACATGGCTGCAGACCCTCTTTGTACCCTGTAAAACGAAGTTTTATATGTGAGTACTAAGCCCGTTCATAATATAAATTACAAAGTGTCGTATTGGACGTGCGTGTCTCGGTCGGTGGGTAACATTTTCCGTAGCCACTTGATGGATTACCTAAAATTCTACAGTCACAATATGACCAAAATTTTAAGCTAAATACAAAATTCGAAATAGCAGCGCACCTGGTATAATTACTTTAATTTAGATGTTTAGACGCAAATTTTCCTACATTTGACACATTTTTAGAAAATAAAACACAACATTGGACCCATATCCGAATATCATGAAGGAAACTCAAAAAATCAGAATGGTAATGTTTTGATCACTGAATGACTGACTCATTCGTCAAAACATTAGACCACTTGAAAATGTAGAGGATATAAAAATTAAAATCAAAATTATATTGTGCTTACTATGGATAAATAATAACATTATGCTGTAGGTATACTGCGTAGATGGGTACACTTTTAGTCATTCAACGTATTACTGAAGACTTATGAGTGCATACGATGGAAGGTTGACTATTGAAATAATAATAATACGACTATAACATTAAATTATAGTTAGCATGCTCGCGCCGCGCCGATCGATTTTACTTACATGAAATTTAATATTATGGAGAAACATTATTTTTTAAAAGTTCTTAATAGTAAAAATCACAAATGTTTTGAAATATATAAACGTTATAAAAGTATGGATTATCTTTATATTCAAAATCATAATATTCCATATTTATTCCTATGCTTTGTCTTTGACGGTGTTGATTATTGGGTTATTTACCCTAATGTAATTTGACAAATGTAAAAAGTCACGTCAAGTACTTTTAATTGTTAAGTGCCAAAATCTTTCTTGTAATTACTTCAATTAAATGTAATAAATATCTATAAAATTTTTAGCCACACAATCGAATTAGAGCGCTATTTTTCGGTGCGTATTTTAAATAATGGCGCCTTTTGTGACCTGTGAGCGTCGATACGGGAAACGCGATCGCAGCGACGCCCAGTGGTGGCGCACTGTACTAATTACGTGTTCTACGGCGTCCTCCGATTTTATTCACGGAAAGTGTATCGCCATATTGCTTCCGTGAATTCAGTGAAATATTTGTTAATTTCTCTTCAATTATGACTGCAATATCAAAATGAAGTGAAAGGGAACAAACAACAGGGCATCATCGACTGTGTGGATACGTTTTTGAGCATCCCAACCTCCGTTATTACGTGAAATAGGTGAGTTTTATTCTTCCTTGGCTATGACTATATGGCCCAATATTCCACGGGAGTTCGATCCGCTATGCGATAATGAAACTTAAAAAATGCGATTAAGGTTAATAATTGCGCGGTTTTTGTTATGTTTATTTACATGAATTTGAAAAGTTCTCCGCGGTTTTCTCGTAATGTGGATTGAATTGTGCGATTTTGTAATGGCCAGGGCGGGTTTGAGGTGTCGCCTTTGTACGTGTATACGTATGTAGGTACATGTGATTTGACGTGAGCGATCGGTTGTAGAGCATGTCGTACGAGAAGATGGAAGTGGTGAATCCGGCGGAGAAGGAGGCGAGTGAGGTGCTGCACTCCTTGCTGTCCGTGGAGCGCCGTAGCGTGGACAGCAAGGAGGCCATCATCGTGTCCATTCCCACGGACCAAAACGGCGCCGGCGAGTACGGCGAGAGCGCCCAGTGGCACACGCCCGTCATGGGGCAGCACTCTGTCTTCGAAATGGGACCCCCACAGAACATGCAGCAACATAACTACAACGGACATCAAGAGCAGGTATGTTCATGCACCAATAATCACCCCGATGNCCACGATGATGTCTGTGATCCTTGAAAACTCAAAAATAATATGAATGTATGACTTTTGACTCGACAACTTAACAGTAAACAAAGGTTTTACAGGAAACCGAGAACGGTATTACTTATAAAATTACATTTATTGGTTCCGTCGCACTAAATTATTACTCTTATAAATTACAGGTTCTCTGGCAAGGACATACAATTCAGGTGGAAAATGGTGATGGTAACATGCAGACCATGCAAACAACTTATACACTGGAATTTGGACCTAATGTTGATGCCGAGACTGCAGAATTGGAAGTTGACACAAAGCCTAAAGTCGAGAAAAAGGTTGGAATGAAAAGGAAGAAAAAGACGGACTCTGATAGTGAGGATGATATTATTGATAACAAACTGGAGGATAATCCTACACAGGTAATACTTCCATGATTGAATCTCTTTAATTATAGCCCAGGGTCTAATAAATTCAATATCCAACACGATAGCTTTCATTATGACAAAGACTTATTGCAGTAACTTGTATTGCTGGGATGCAACTGTAATGCAATACAGTGGATGCCAATTTACACAATTCAGATGATTGTAGGTAGAAAAAAATACCACACCATTCTTGCATGTCTTATCAAAAAAGATAAAAACACCACATAGCAAGTTCTAGTTGTGTACAGCAGTATAGTACAGTTAAATATTTAAAAAAATATGGTGATTTNGGTGATTTTATAAGGCGGTATAGTAAATTATTATAATTAAAGTGATAATAAAAAAAAATACCATGATTTCATAATCTATATTTTTTAAAATTCTCTGACATTAACATTGATAAGGAATCCTTTATCAAGTAATTTGATAACTTTACAAATTATGCTTTTTATAAAATGCAAGCTTTAAAATTAAATAGTATGTAAAGTCCTTTCACTTAAAACTAAATATAATGTTGTAAGTCCAAAACAAGCAGAAAACTGTCTTTAACATAATATTTCACATTATTAATTTGTTACATTGTTATTTTCAGGTCAAAGAAAGGCTTATGAGGGGCTGTGAGTGTAAGGACAACTGTTATCGTGGACTCAACCCTGAGGCAGTATATCGTCACCGTCTCAACATTGCTGAACTCACTAAAAGCGAACACGACATGTACTTGATGGGAATTACAATGGCTAGCTTGGCGAATCCGGCAGAAACGTCACGTCATAAGGTCAGAAGGAGACTACGAGCCTGCTATGTATATCAGGGACGAAAGGTTTGCTTAGAGGCATTCTTATATTTAGAAAATGTTACTCACTACCAACTGAAGCGCATCAGGCAACACGTAATGACCCACGGCGTCGCGCCGCGGATACACGGCAACGTAGGTAAGAAGCCGTACAACACGTTCACATTGGACATTTACAAACACGCCACGAATTTCTTGAAGGAGTATCTCAAGCAGCACGCTCAATCACCCAAAGACGCTCAGCCCAACGCGGATGGCAAGAAGGCCAGTAAAACCGTCATCATCCAAGGCGACTCGAGAAAGCACTTGTTCGAAGCCTACAAGGAGTACGGGGAGATTCTCGAGCCCGGCGTGAAGCTAATGGGCTATTCCACGTTCCGGGCGTTCATGAAAGATCAGTTTCCTCAAGTGAAGTTCGCGACCAAAAAGCAGGACCTGCCGAAGGATATGGTGCCGTTCCGCAGCGGCAAGTGCATGTCGTACGACAAGAATAAAGACCCTGTGAGACTGCAACAGGAGAAGGAGAAGGCGGACGCCAAGAAGGCAGCTATGGAGGCTAAGAAGAAGGAGGAGCACGAGCGCGAGCACCAGGTGCAGCAGCAGCAACAGCAGCAACAGCAGCAGCAGCAGCAGCAGCAGCAGCAACAGCAGCAGCAGCAAGTGCAGCAGGTGCAGGTGCAGCAGCATCAACAGATGCAGGGCCAGCCGCACGTGGTGATCCACCAGCAGCAGGCGCAGCAGCAGCAGTCGATGCAGCAGCAGATGCTGGTGCCGCAGGTGTCGCAGCACCAGCAGGTGCTGCCGGGGCAGGTGGGCGGCGTGCAGCAGGTGTCGCAGCACCTGCAGCCGCTGGGCGTGCAGGAGGAGGCCGGCCAGCAGGTGGAGATGGCGCAGCAGGTCATCCCGCTGGCGGTGGTCCAGCAGCCGCAGCAGGCCTACCTGGTGACGCCGGTGTCGCACTTCCAGACGCGCGTGCAGGGCGCCTGGTACCGCCATTGACCCGGCGCGCCGCCGCCGCCGCACGCGCGAGCCGCAGCCTGAACTTTGGCAATAAGTGAGCGAATAGGTAGGTGACACCTTTCAGTATTGGTTAAACTGAGTTATGGATATTTCTAAGTATAAAGTTAATCATATTTACACGACTTATATTAGCACTAGCTATGTAGTTTTTTTTTGTAATCTATAATTTTGTTTAACGGAAATTACTAAATTTTGTATTACCTCTGATTTTTGTATACGAAATGCTTGTTGGACTGCAGAATCGGAAGAACAGTTGAGGGACTCGGGGGTAGTATGTTTAATGTTGGACTCGTTTACGTAAATGCAGCTTTTCATTCGAGTTCGTAGTTTGATGTTAACTTCATTTGTCACTAGAATCTTTGAGGCTTGAAACATTAACTGTGAATGNAAAAATTTTTCATTTTCATTTTCATTTTCATTTTTTAACTAATTTCGCTCACCATGCTATTCTTATTACTTGTCTATGGTTCAAACGAAGACTTGGACTTGAATTTAAACTGCAATGAAGGTATTATTTGATTCAAATCAGCTTGCATTCAATAAATATGATTCTCATTATCCTCAAGAACTCATTATGTTATGTCAGTCATTTTTGTACATGCTAGTTCTTAATTACAGCCTAAAAAGAATCACACAGTTAAATATAAGGCAAGATTCCTATGACAATGACAAACTACGTATTGAAGGACATTATTTAATTTTAATTAATTTCTGTCTATTTATTTGCATCAGCTGGTTTGAGGCGAATAATAGCTAAGCAATTATGTAAATTAAATTGAATTTTAAAATTACTTAAATCTTTCCAAAAACCTCACAGAAAACATACTACCTACTTGAAAGTCGTGTACTCACTTACTCAGCATCTATATTTTGGATGAAATACTTTTTTTAACATTTTTAAATCTAAATGAAAAGGCATGGCCTGTTTGGTCATCAAACATTATAGCCAAAAAGTATTTACATCCAGGATATACAGGGTGTTAGGTAAATAGGTATATGAGCCGACACTAGCCCTGGATGTTAACATGTGCATATAAATGGTATGGTAAAGTCAGAAAATTGATTTCATCATTTAAATTATTAGATTTTTCATACAAATCTAATTTTATAAATTGTATTTTGTCTGAACATTTAAAAAATTAAAATGATATCAAATTTTTGACTTCACCATACCATTTATTTATATGCATAATAAGTTAACATGGGCTAGTGTCGGCTCATATACCCATTTGCCTAACACCCCGTAGACGCCGCTGTGGACTCGTCATGGTCGAAAAGATTTGTCAAAACAAATTGTTTGAGTATAAGTAAATTATTTATTTCGACTCATAATTTCTTCATTTACTAAACTAAAATGCAGTGCCTTCAAAGTATGTATGATGTTAAATTCGGTATAGCTTTGGTGTGCAATTATTTTGTAAATGGATTGACACTATATTGGAATTTCTTTTCGATAATTTACGGCATAGGTCCTATAATGTAATGATAATGGATGTACCTATACTGTGATAGTAAATTGCTTTGGTGAACTGATCCAAAAAGGTGAAATAACACATCACAAACAGTAAACACTTAAATTTTGATTTTTGTATCATTAAATACATATCAAAATTTCATAAGAGAAGTTAATTTAAAACCACCTATTTAAAGACTTGGGCAATAAGCTTAATTCATGTAATTGTAACTTTTGTAGTATTATTACAGGGCAATTAAAAGTACCGACATTGTCATTGGTATGATTGGCACCGGTATTTTTATGATGGCTAGGTAGGCTATTTGCTAAAGTTTATTACTAAAACTAATAATGAAATCCTCTTTTTTTACATGATCTCTAGGCCAGACTCGTGTCATTAATTTCACCCCTCCAAAATATTTTATCACCTAACTAGCACTCAACCCCACGGTTTATAATTTCATTTAATATCGTATAATGGCTATGCTCACGTGACATTGGCAAACGTGAAAACACAATAGCCATAGAGGAGAAAATATTTTATCACTGCCGTTGGATGACATGTTATCTATGTATGGTCATGTCGGTATTTTTCTGTAATCTTGAATACGACTTTAATTTAGTATTATGTTTAACATAACGGTTGCTCGATGCCTCCGTCATCTAACGAAGTTTGAAGTTATTCAATTATTATTAGATGTAATATTTTTTTCCTAGACCTACCTACATAATGACAGTCGAGATTAAATTAAGTTTTTAGTATATATTTTAATGTCATTTCCTAAAAATAAAATTGGAAATCAACTTTCTAATTAATTAAGGAATACGGGCCCATATTAGTTTTTTTAAGTAAGTGGCAGGCAATCCTGAATATATTTTCTCTAAACTTCATGTCTTGTCTATTTTAATCAACAAATGACTACCTACGAAAACATTGTCTTGTTAGTTTAGAGACTCGGGATTCGTGCCAACTTTTACACATTCAAAATTATGTTTATGTCTTTGCTGAACGGCTCTTTTTTCATTTTAGCCCTTTTTTAAACATGACCATGTTTATAAAATATTGTTAGTATTTATTCATAGTCAAATCAAAGAATATTAATGTCTAGAACTCAAAATCGAAGCAAATAATACTATGTACCGACACCAAATATTTGGTGCTGAATATGTGCGTTCAGCAATTTTTATATGTTCATGTACACGTCATAACGTAATTTTTATAGTTATATATTTTTCAAGAAATGTCGTTTTTATCCAAGGACGTATGATTAAGAAAATTATTGTGAGGAATTTCATGATCGTTTCTGACTACGAAACCTGTGAATATTTTATATTCAGGATTAATGTTTTGAATTAAAATTAAATTACTCAATTAAAATTAAATTACTCATCAATACAATTACTACTACATACTACTAAATATGTGCGTCTCAACTTTTTAAGTCGAACAACTTGTATTAGAGTGAGACAGTAGCAGCATTCTCTGTGCGTTCCATCATAAAGACCAATCGACAGAAGGAACGCAGGGAGTTAATTTAAAAAATATCATGTTTAATTGAATTTGCATAATTTCAGTGGTTTGGACGATCTTGAAATTACCTGTGTGGTTTCGCGTTATACGACTGTTAATCGAAAAGGCGAAGTAGAAATCTCATTTTATCTGGAGTTAAGTTAGGCATAGTGTAATTTATGTAACTGATAGAAGTGTGTAATCATAATCATTACTATAGATAGACAGTACAGAAATGTGCCTAGAAATATGCTTATCCATGTATTTTTATATAGTGCAATAATATCTGATGTGAGATTCGGAGCAGATTTTCAAGACGTGTCTTGAAGCGCAGTCTCTGTTGTTATAGTACATTCAAATGAGAATCGATTATTTTAATTGAGCCATTAGACTGAAACCAGAAAAATATTTTATCAAAACATTAGTATCGGGGACTAATTTGCTTCGAATCGTAGTGATTTCCCGTTAGTATAATATTCGGCATCTATGTTCCAAAATTACCGTAGGAAGACATGATGTGATAGACATTAAACTTTTTTACGCTATAGATGTGTGTTTGAATCGGACGTTGACCTTTGATTTGGGATTAGATTGGATGGGGTGAGCCCTCGATCGAAGGTGGGATCGGGGTCGAGGCTCCCACGCCGTCCGGCCGCGGTGCAACCGGAGATTGGCGGCCGGGGGTGTAGGAGCGGCGCAGCGCGACTGGCCTGTTGCGCCTCATTAGCTCCCTGCGGCCGGCCACTACACTCGGCAATTTAATAAATCCTCGCGCCGAACATCGTAAACAAAAGTCATTGTTTCGCCTTCACCAGTCTGATGGCGACTTGACCGCGCGCGCCGACGCATCCCGCGACACGACCTTAACGACATTTCGAAATGAAATTTTGGAGGTGTAGCACCAAACGCGAACGGCGCCGCGCTGCAATTGGTGAGTTATCTATCCAAATCGATTTTTTACAAGCTGTTATTATTTTGTATTGCCTGTTACGGATCCTTTGCTCGTTAATGCGTACCTACTAGTAATAATGTTGAGTTAACCCACTTTCAAAACCGTTGCCTAAACGATTTCTGCAATTTGTCTTGATTGAAGCCGCGGATGGGACAATTCTTGTGTTTATTAAATGTCTCCAAGCTATTTATATGGTCTTGTCGACCTTATTTGGGTATTTCGCCANATTTGCTTGTGTTGCATTATGATCAAAACTCTTGAAAAATTGTAAGTGCTACGCACAGTTTTAACCGATCTAAAACTTTGGGGAACATCAATCCATGACAAAGACGAGTATAACAAATTGGGCACCAAAAATAAATACGACCTTGACTTTGAGAAAAAAACGTCTTCATGATATCATTGACTGCGATTACATAGCCAAGCATCAGTCTCGTAATAAACACAACTTAATCCAGTTCTAAACTTGGTTTTGGTCATACAATGAACAGGATTATCTTTGAACGATTTTTATCANAACAGGATTATCTTTGAACGATTTTATCAAAAATCGGAACGTTCGTTCTTGTTGGAATAACTAACTGGTAACTGCTACTTACTTACCTACTATATTACTATAAGAACGTGAGTAGGCAGGTATTAGGTTAGTTAATAAACGTGTGTCGTATTTCATTCTTATACCATGCTTTTGTGTCTCAAACACCAGCAGGTACAACAGAAAAGAATGGAAAAAAAAGAGTGAACGTGGTTTGAGCATTTGACCCGGCCACATGTAGCGTTACCTTATTGATATTATTTTCAGATTGAAGACTGATACAACAATCCTATAGATGGGTAGGAAATATTTTGTGTTGCTAACGCTGGCCAACAAAGGAAACTTGTTTTTAACGAGTTTGCGGCTTGGAAGGGACGTGCTGCCAATCCACATTAACCGCTGGCAGCAGGACACAGTTACTTATTTGCACGCTTTCAGTTAAGCTCGTTGGTTATGGCGACGACAACACGAGGGGAGAAGACCGAGACAGATGGGGTTTAATTAAACGTTGCCTCTATTCGCAAATTGGTTGTTATTCGGTCAAGACTTGATGCACTTGAAAAGAAAAATAACGCGTACGTTTCGTCTTGGGAAAATATTTGAGTGATCACGCAAAATAGGTACTACACCTTTTCGATATACGAAAAGCAAATAAGAATTTGCTATAGATAACAATATTGCTATATTGCCAACTTGCCATCAAAGATTTTTATCGGCGACGGCAATCGAACTCTGCGTCATCAATAAAAGTTGAGAACTGGCTACTAATACTAATGGCTCACTGGTGGGTGGCAAGCCAACGATCCTACGTGAAAGGAAAACCTGCCTATAACTGGCGTACTATGAAGATTGGCAATGAAGCGAGCCGCCCTGATTACTATGCGCGACGCGGACCATCCGCCACCGGCTTTTGTTTGCATTCCCATTGTCCTATCCATCCTTTCCAACGACTTTTTTACTAGCCTAGTAGCTAGGCACCTATTTAATTAGGCTGAGCGTTCATGATCGCTACTTTTCTACTAGTTAGGGCTTTGTTAATTGAAGTAGATCATTACGGTTCCAGTAAGATGAGACCTAACAGGCCAGTCCTTATAAATTAAGAAAGAATAAGTAGGTAATACAGATAGAGACAATTGATTGCAGCCCGATTGTAATTTAATAATTTTACTA